CAGGAGGGAGACATGGAGGCCTTTCCGAGGGTTTCCGCCGGTATGGTTCGTCTCGGTGGGTGTGTCAGGACGTAAGTAGAGCAGCGCAACCCGGCGTTGCCGCCTCCGAGCCCGTCTTGCTATCGCCAGGGCCGGAAACAGCCGTACGGGCGCTACGATCGCCAGCCGACAGGAGGGAGACATGGAGGCCTTTCGGAGGGTTCCGCCGGTATGGTTCGTCTCGGTGGGTGTGTCAGGACGTAAGTAGAGCAGCGCAACCCGGCGTTGCCGCCTCCGAGCCCGTCTTGCTATCGCCAGGGCCGGAAACCGCGGTACGGGCGCTACGATCGCCAGCCGACAGGAGGGAGACATGGAGGCCTTTCCGAGGGTTTCCGCCGGTATGGTTCGTCTCGGTGGGTGTGTCAGGACGTAAGTAGAGCAGCGCAACCCGGCGTTGCCGCCTCCGAGCCCGTCTTGTTATCGCCAGGGCCGGAAACCACGGTGATGTCGACGGCGGATCATACGCAGACGGACGAACAGACCGAGCGTGTTAACCGCGTGCTCGTAGACGTGCTTAAGAGCTACGCTCACTCGTTCCAACACTGGAGCGAGTGTCTGGCGATGGCGGAGTTCGCCATCAACAACTCGGTGCATGCCTCGACCGGGCATACACCGTTCTACGTGAATGCCATCAGGCACCCACGCCTCCCGAGTCTACTCGGGATGGTGGCTCCTTCCTTAAATGGGGGAGGATCTACGACTGCAACGCAGCAGCCGCAGAATGCCGCTGACACTTGCACAATGTCAGCCGCGACTACGCGCAAGAAGAAGAAGAAGAAGAAGCACGCGTCTGTGCAGGGCACAGACGCCGACAAGACCAAGAAGAAGAAGAAGAAGAAGAACGGGTCTGTGCAGGGCACAGACACCGCGAAGACGAACGCAGAGGCCGCGCTGGGCCAAGCGTGTGACGCGACCTCCCACGTCGACAGAGATGCCCGACGCGGTCTGCGAGGCCTGAGCGACTTGAGCCCTCAGGATCGCCACCTCCTGCTTCAGAGCGGCGAACTCCCGGCTCTGATGCTGTTCCACAGCAGCGACTCGCCCCTCGAGCGTTGGGCCAAGGTCAACCCCAGGTTGACCATACCCGGGGCGTGTTCCCACCACCGCCGCCTCCGATCCGCGACCCCCGCGGCTCAACACGCTGGGTTGTTGAGCGTATTGTGAACCATAGTATCCCGAAAACGAACCGGCAGCCGGTTCGTTATCGTATTCGTTGGAGAGGGTTTCCGCCCCACCAAGATACATGGGAGTCACGAGACGTCCTGCTGCAGGACGTTCCGGAAATGGTGAGAGCGTACGAAGCTCACCACGCACTGCCGACGCGAAGGTAGTGCGAGCGCTGTGGTCACCTACAGCGCCCGAGGTCCCACGATCGTCGCGTTCCTCGCGTGCCAAGAACTTGGCACGAAGATCGTTGAGACTCTCAGGTACACGAATCGTCGTGTACCCGTTTAGGTCGCGGTCGCTCAAGCGCGCCGCACCCGGAAGACACAACGTGCACTGTTGGCCTTCGGGCACAGCGCATGGAATACCAGCGTCCACAGAGGATCTGTGGAGCTGCTCCAGCCGCCCGCGCGTCGAGAATGTCTCGAAGCGCTCACGGGCATGCTTAACCCGCTCGCGGTAAGCAGCCGGTTTCTTGTTGAAGTTCTCAACAAAAGCATTCCAACTTTGGCAAAGTGCCTGCCACTCAGGCACTTTGCTGCGAGAAGAGGTCTTCTTGCTGGAGAAGTACCGGAGCTCGTGGAAGAGCCCGATGTAGTAGTCGCGCCTTTGATTCGTTAACGGATCAAAGTGCTGCTCCTCCGCAACAGCATCGTCGTGTATACCGCTGCATACGTACAGCGGGATTTCGTTTGGAGGCACAGTGTTGCCCACACGGTCTGCGATCTCTGACGCAGACGGCATCCACGGATCGCGCGCTGCTCAGGCAGCGCGTGGAGAGCTTTAAGCCCCAGCAGCAGAGAGCGGAGTGTCGCTTTCGCCGCGCGAACGCTTCGAGCTCGAAGCGTCCGAGTCGTCTCCTTCACGAGGGCGTCTCGACCCGGCATGCGGGTCGAGACTATCGCTGTCGATAGACTCCTTGCGCTTGCTAGAAGAGGCCTCGCCCTCTTCCATCTCCACGTCGCCGTCTTCGAAGTCACCGTGTCGTTGACTACAGAAGAACCTTCGAGGACAATCTCTGGTTGAGTTGTCCCCGCCGCAGCCTTGGTAGCAAGAGCGTCACGCTTTGCTTTGAGACGCTCGCGGTACTCGGGGATAGAGAGAGTCTATATCCCGGCGGAGGACTTCCCCTCTGCTGCAGCGTCGGTCTTCTTCGGAGGCGAGCTCATTGCGGAATGAGCTCGAGTTTTCTTTCTCCCAACGTGAAGAATTGACGAATGGTCAATTTCCTGATTGACGTGCCGTGACTCGGCGCGTCTAACCTTGACGGGGGGATGGTGTAACGGGGTTACACGCACAAGCGGCTACAGTCACTTGTAACTCTAACAGATACGACATCTGTTAGAGGTTCGAACGACTTTCTCAACCTTGGTGTAGACACAGCAACGGCTACATACATTTACGACCACCACGACGGGTGGTCCATAGAGACTTAGGATTCCTATTGGCTGAGAGCAGCATCTCTTAGCCAATGAGCGACATGCATAGCATTGGAATTCTGCCAACCAGCCGTTGGCAGATTCCTATCTTAGAATATTACATTTAGAAGAAGTCAGAAACATAAAACAAAAATAGCAGTTCTCATTTTAACCCAAAAAACATTATTTGGATCGTTTATTTAGATTAATCTATACTCGGAGGTCCGAGTATAGATTAACTCTAATTTAAACTAGGCTACGCTTCCTCACATACATGCGCACACGTGTAAGCTAAAGTAGTGAGCCAAAGTAGGCCCATTACAAAGGATGGGCAAAGATTCCGTGGAAAGTTGAAGGAGGTGATTTGTACCCACGACTCTAGACTGGATTTTGGCTCGGCCGGGATGTCGACGTCAACCGCGGTACAGTGAAATCAAGTGAAAAGCAGAATGCATGTCTAAGTTGCGGGAAGATAGCCACAGAGTAAAAGATAAACAGAGTTCGTTTTCCCCCCTCGGTGACAAGTCGCTTGGAGCAGCCTGCCAGAGGAAAATGCCTGGAGGACCGAGGGATATCGCTAGGCTTTGTGTAAAGGTATATCTCTTGTAGCGTTCTTCTGTGTTCTTCTGTGTTCTTCGCCACGCGTCTGGCGAATATTTTGACTTGAGTATACTGGAACTGTTGACGTAGACACTCTCCACTGGATTCTTGCCCAGTTCAATGTCCCCATGTCTTTGTGCATGACTGGCTCTTGGGAAACCTTGGCCGCATGCGGCCAGGGTTCCCTTGAACCCACATCCTTGAAACCGGATTTCAGAGTCGGCAAGCCTGAACGCAGTGCGCTCAAGGCCTGCGGCCAAAGACGACTTGCGCCCAAGGCTGTAACCATACTCAAGGCCTTGCGGCCAAGGGTAGGTTGACTCTTCACCAGGTCGTGGGGCACTTGGCGGGACTTCTTCCGGGTGGCCAGCGGTCTGGACACCATGCACTCGACTTTACTGGGGGGCTGAGCTCCGGGTACACGAATTCGATGTGCGTGCAGGGCCTAGGCGAGGCGGGGAACCATACACGATACGTTCGTGCAGGCGTTTTCGACGGCCTCAATGTGTCAACCCGCTTAAGGACGGGGGCGGCCTGGACGGATCGACTGCGTTCAGTGTTTCTCATCTGAACTCAGTCTTCCAGGCCTGAAGGGCCCATCCTAGGCTTGAGCGCACTTCGCTCCGCGGAACACAGCCGTATTCCAGCTCAGGACTTGTCGCACGGTGTACAGCCGGGTCCGGGTTCAGTCTTGGCCAATCAGAATGGCGGGTGGTCAGATGACCGGTTGAGGTAAAACCTCGCTCAGTCTCGTCACATGTGTCAGGACGTAACGAGAGCAGCGCAACGCGGCATCTGTTGGGAGGAACCTACAAATGTAAGGACGTCATTGCAGAAGCCGTAGTAAAACTAAATGAACAGTGATTGAGCTGGTATGCAGCCACGACAAGAGGAGTGCTCTTCAAACTAACTCGTAGAAAAAAATTGTATTGCTTGGGACTGATAAAATGATATAAGAAAAAAATCTGTAAGGTAAGGTGCCAGTTGCGTGCCTACAACCAGCTCCGTGCCTACTTGTTTTAGCCAATTAGCATCTTCTCCTTGTTAAACTCTCGTAGTCTATTGGTAGATTTTTCCCGCGTCACATGCAATTTCCGGTGATGAGCCTCCTAGGATTTGAATAGCATACAAAAATGCTATCAAAAAGAGGCAGGAAACTGGCAGCTCACTCCAAATCAACAAGCTTTTCAAAACAATAACAAGAAGTTTTGCAAAATTTACACGGACCAGCGTGAAGTACATAAATTCAGCCCAATCGCGCAGATTTAGCGGGTGCAATCCGATTTCAGAATGGACAATTCAATGAAAAGTTATGCCACAGCAAGTCCGCAAGTTCGAAGGACGGCACGAAACTGGCAGAAGACCTTACCGCCTTTTACCTGTCATAGGGGCTCAGTCAAATGCATCTGGGTGTAGGGTAATGTGACGTCGTGCCCAAAGTGAAATGTATCGTACTTAATATATGATCGTACTTAAATGCCAAACAGTCTCACTCGGCAACTGGACCGCAAGGAACGCAGTGGAGGCGGAAGACTACGGCGTGGCCGCGAGGACGATGTGAAGACTGTGGTTTATTAGGCACGTCTACCGGTACGTTGTCTCGGTGCGGTGTAAGTTTGGCTGTCGGTGAGCGCGTGTGGGGCTGATGCTGGCGTGTTGTGCTGCGCAGGTTTGAAGGAAAAGAAGGCGGCTGGACGGCGGCTCACCACGCGGCTCGTGCGAGGCGCTGGACTTTGCGGCAAGTCGGTGCGTGCGTGAATTATGATGTAGAACTATGAATCATTTAAATGAAGTACCTCTTACTCTTGATCTGAGCTGTCTTCATCGGAGCCGCTGGTTGTTTCTCCGGGTGTGCGGATGTCGTCGGCAGAGCTTACGCGAGTTCGACATGCCGGCTTAGTTATTGCAACAGAGGCTAGCTGCTCCAGGAGAATGTCGATCTCCGCCGTCATGTCAGCCGCTGTGTCTTGAACAGGTCGCGTGTCGTTGACAAGACCAATACGCCGACTATCGTTGTTGTCGTCAGGTTCCGCCAGGCTTCAGCGATCCAGCCTGTAATCACATCACGCGAAGGTGCAGCTAATTCGAAGGCACCTCCATCCTTCTTCCGGGCGCGCCGCCGTCGCTGGCGTCTGGGTTGCGGAGCCTCGTCAGCACTCTCGGACCCAGATTCAGCTTCTTCTCGGTAAGTTATCATGCGGATGGGACCGCTGGAGATTTCTTGCGTTTGAACCTCATCTTCGTTCTCGTGCTGGTTGCAGTTGCCGCCCTTCTTGTTGTAGGTTCTCTTGCACTGGAAGACCTTGTTCATCAGCCATCACGTCGGGCGATTGCGAAAGCTCAACACAGAAGCTTGCCGAGGTCCTGTCAACCCGCGTAGACTGCTGATGTAAAGCCGTCTTCAACTTCCTGGCCAGCTCGGCTTGCTGGATCACTATAGCTTGCCGTTCAGCCTCCGCCTTCTTCGTCACATCCGCTCTGCGCGTCACTTCAGCCCGGTGGGGCTTGCAATTTGCTCGCGCATTTGGGCAACTCAGGCTCGGCGAAGGAAATCCTTCAACGGCTTATTCCAAGCTATATCCGCACCGCCTCGGTCCAGTGGCCGGCAAAATCATCCCACAATGCGGTCATCCATATTCTCTCGCCCAGCAAAATGAAATTTCAGAAACTCAATAGATAGTCCCGCATTCCACCAGCCTTTGGAGTTACCATAGATGCGGCATCCAGTTGATCGTTGAAGTGGGGCAATTTTGTTCCAGAGCGTCCTACCAAATCCATTGCGAAACTTGGTGCTGGCAATTCGCTCAAGCTCCTTCTGCGAGGGTCGAGTCTTGAATACCAGGAAAGGTGCTCTTTTGTTGCCGGCGTCATCCGCCATCACCGTAGCAGTAGCCCGATCCTTGTCTTTGCCGGCACATTGAACCCAAACCGTCCTCGTGTTGCGCTAGTCGATCGTCCTTCGCGGCAAATACTCTAAACACACAGCTGCAAATTGTTAGCGAAAACGTTATAGCAAAATGAAATAGTAGCAGCTCAATATACCTGTTTGGTCAGCATTATACAGCTCAGAAATACCTTGTTCGGCAATTACCTGCCGGACTGAGGCGGTAAATGCTGCGGCAACTTGTGCAGCGTCGTCCGGGCCTTATCGACGAGTCGAGTTGATCCACAACACGATCTGCTCTTCCGCTTCGGCTGATAACACAGTACATTGGACGCGCTGACGCGACCTCTGCATGCTGCCATTACCATCCGTGCACATGCGCTCAATGTGAGCTCGCTCCCTATTCTATCAGCTCACTAGTTTCTTCAGCTTTTTCATTTCTAAAGGGTTAGTAACATCACCAAAGACTGCCTTAACGCCCATAGCAAGTTCGCCGGACTTCTTGAAGGCATTTATTGCCTTCAGCTTATCCGAATAAGCGTACGCAGTTCGTGCATATAGCCTAGGCCGCCGCCCTTCTCCTACGCGTACGCAGCTCGTGCATATAGCCTAGGCCGCCGCCCTTCTCCTCCTACTCGAGGGCGAGTCATTGTTGACGCACCAAATACGGAAGTGTGTACCGAGAACCAGTCGCTGTATGGTTCGTACTTAGAAAGTGATACTACAGTATTTAGCGCCCTTATGACAAACGAAAGTTGTACCTTCCACAATGGAGCTATCTTATTGGTCAAATTACGATAGCCCTTAAGACAAAGCGGCTCCTTTTATGACAGTACTCGTCGAATATGAACTGCATCTGCAATGACGTACTGTCATTGGCTGAAGTGAGCTACCCTATATCAGTGTCCATCATATACAAATCAGTTTTTACGGTACTCCCTTCATCCATTACCGCCCGCACGTTAGCTCTCAGTCTCACGTAGCAAAGCGAGCAATGCTGTCCTTGGTGCGTCGTTGCGCTCCTTCCGCCGCGCGGGCGGCGATGCAGCCACAACGCCGGATACTGGCCGAGATTCAGTCGCTGCTTCAGCTGCAGCGCGGCTTCGCGTCCGCGGACTCCAAGTGGGGCATCACCAACGACCGCATCACGGCGCGCGTCGTCAACGTGGTGGATGACGACGGCAACATGCGCACCGACGTGCCGCTGCGCCAGGCCATCCAGGAGGCGCGGGGCCTGAGCGTGGACCTGGTGCAGGTATCGCCCAGCGGCAAGCTGCCGGCGGTCTGCAGATTCTTCGACGCCAAGAAGCGGCTGTACGAGCTCAAGAAGGCCAGCAAGAAGGCCTCCAAGCAGCAGAAGCCCAAGCCCGACAAGGAGGTTGTGGTCGGAGCCAAGATCGCCGTGAGTTGCTTATTGTACGCATGCGTGTAGGTGATGCAGTGACTGATATCTGTCTTGTGTGATTGCAGCCGAACGACCTGAAGAACAAGGTGGACCAGTTGAAGCGGTTCCTGAACAAGGGCCACAAGGTGAAGGTGACGATCAAGTTCGACCAGGCCTACCACCTCAAGCAGCAGTCGCTCGAGCAGCTGGAGCGCATCGGAGACCTTATTGACGCCGAGACAGGAGTGCTGAGCGGCCAGCCCAAGGAGCAGTTCGGCGGCGTCTACGTGTACTACTCGCCGGCCAACTAATGGAGAGAACAACCGCACTGGATTGCGTGACGTGCGCCATGTAGAGCAAACACCAATGCGATGCGCCATTTGCCACGCACAGCGTGTCCTGCCGACTTACAGCAGAGCGGCCTATTTTTCGCTTCGGCATCCCGCCGTATCGACGCCATGCGCTTGCCGTCTCTTAGGGGATGTGGCGATGTTTGTAGCTCTGCTTGGCGTCTGCTTCTACAGTAGAATGAACAAAGCCTCTTTCACTGAGGCGGTGGTCTTAAGTAAAATGCAATGCCACTCAAACCCACGAGTACTGCGGACCCAAGTCAATCGAGTTTGAAAAAGTTGGGCCATGCCCAGAGCACAGCAAGCAAAGATGGGGTCTGAAGACGTGTGTATGTAGTTAATGGGATCCTCCAGTCCCTATCGACTCACCACTGCTGACGCTACATTACGCTGGTCTGCATCGATCAAGCGAGCTGCTGCACAGCACTGTGGAGTAGAAGTGGGGTCCAGAGACTTGCAGCCTAGACGTTGATAACTCGGGCAAGCTTCTGGATGCGGTTAAGCAGCAAGTCGCCCTTCTTGATGGCGTCCTGGTACTGCGCGTTCTTGGCATCTGGGCGGTTTGTCTCAATCACGCCAGCCACCTTATCGATCTTGGCGTTCAGTCGGCCAGCGGCAATGAAACGTGCGAGCTCATTGTCCAGGAATTCAACGCTCACGCCAAAGGCAGTGGCCATCGAGGCAATGGTCACACTGCGGTAAGCCTCCAAGAACTGACCATACGCGAGCACGCGCAGCTCGCGGTACAGGAAGCGCGAGTGGGTCGACAGGTACTTGTCACGCAGAATGTAGGGCTGGATGTCCACCATGGCGGTGAAGAATCTCTTGTAGTTGCAGTCGTACAGTCCGTTCAGGAAGTCTGTCAGACACGGAATCTCGTTGATGACCGCGAGGATCTCGGGCGAGTCCACAATCTTCTTCTTGAGGTCCACGCGACTCATGCTCAGCACGCACGTGATGACGCAGTAGAACACCATCGTGTTGTAGGGCATGAGCTCCGTGGCCGTGAACGTAGCCACTGACTCCTGGAAGAGCTTGGACGCCTTCTTGAAGTCGCGCGCCATCAGCAGGTAGCAGCCCTCGTACACTTTCAGGCGGTTGCGACGGTCCCAGTCGCCGCCCTCGTCAATCAGCCTGCAAACAAGCAACAATAGCAGCGGTCAGTCAGTCGTCTAACGGTCCAACCTCTCTATTTCCTATCCACCCTTGTTAACGTACGCCGTGGCCTTCTTGATGTACGTCTCGACCAGCTCCAGGTCGGAGAAGAAGAGGCCGATGCGGATGATGTGCAGCGCCACGAGGATCTTCTGGTTGATGGACTGAGGCTTCTCGCCCGCCACCTTGAAGGCCTCCAGCGCCTTCTCCTCGTCTCCGATCCGCGAGTACATGCGCGCCTTGGCCAGCAGCGCCTCCAGCACCTCAATGTCGCCGAGGTTCTGCTCGGCGTCGGCCAGGCGCTCGTCCAGCTGCGCCAGCTCCTGCTCGTTCTTGGCGCTCATCTGGGCCTCGAGCGCCGCGTCCACGGGCCACTGGAACTCGGCGCACACGAGGCGGTAGAAGGGCGCCATGTCGCTCTGCTGGATGATCTCCAGCACCTGCTGCTTGGCGGCCGCGGCATCCGGCTCGCCCAGCGTCGACGCGCCCGAGTGCTGGTGCCGCAGCAGGAAGTGCAGCTGGCTCAGCTTCATGTTGGGCAGCGTGCTCAGGTCGTCCTCGATCTCCTCGGAGATGTTGCCCACGCTGGCCTGCTTCTTGAGCGTCGGTACCTTGGCGGCGGGGTCCGCGGGCTTCTTGGCGTCGTCGGCGGCCATGCTGCTGCTGCTAGATGGAGTCTTCGCTGCTTCTTGCGCTGAAGGATATTGCGATCTATATGAAGGGGGTCGGTGGTGTACATATACACAGGATAGGCATAGTTAGAGGCACCATGGTTAAGCATGGATACATTCTGTTGAAGTTGAAGTGAAAATGAACTAACTCAGCGGCGCTAATACTTCCTCGCGCATGAAGGCGATCTGTCCTAGCCTAGTAGCTGTGGGAGCGCCTCCAGGTCGATCTTCATCGCTGCTCTGTCGCCGAAGTTGCGGATGATAGTGATGGCGTCGTGCTGCGCGAAGTCGGCGACGAGGTTGCTCATCAACGACGTGAACTCTTCGGCATCGACCTGGTTCTGCTTCTTCTGGAGATCACCGACGTGTGCTAGTAGAGCAGACTTGTCGAGCTGGTCGCGCACTTTTCGCAGCACTGCAAGTTTGTCCGAGCGCGCAAACTTGGCTGGGCGTGCCTCCATATACTTGGCGCTATACTCGTCCATCTCGAAAAGCACGAAGACGCGGCCTACCATGCGAACGCGGGCTCCGACGTAGAAGTCGTCCAGACCGAGCCACGAGCTGTGACCATCGGTGGTTTCAACGGATCCATCGGGCCGGGTGCGCTTGATTCGCGTGCGCTCGAGGAACTTCCCGCCCACGATGCCGGAATTGCGTTGAATGAACTCAATAATGGACACACTCTGGTCGGACACGATGAGGGAGATAACAAAGCGGCGCGCAACGTCCTCCGGTGCGTCTGTATCGAAGCGCGCGCGGAAACGGAGCACCTCGGTCGTGTCCAGCGACTCGATGCTCTTGAGCGGCGCTTTTGGCAGCAAGTGGTAGCACGACTGCAGCGAATCCTCCTCGGAGCCCATACCATCGTGTGCAGGTGGTGTGAAGACGGGTGGCGGACGGACTTCCTCCTTGACGGTGACAGCAGGAGCGAGGCGCATGTTGTGTCTCTCGTACCAATCACGTGTGGAGTCGTCAGCATCCAGCAGTAGAATGCGTCGGTTATAAATCTGCAAGTACTCGCCGATAGCCAGGTCTTCCCATGAGTAGTAATTATGCTGCACTGTCGGGGTGACGTCTTCGCCGTCGACCCCTTCCTCACACACGGCTGCGCAAGCTTGACGCTCTGGGTCTTTCGATAGCTTCGTGCGGTTAAGTAGCTTCGGGAACGGGTCGCACCCCGAGTTGCGCTCGTAGGACTCGAGAATCTCGATCGTGTTGTCGGCCAGGAAGAAGTGCAGCGTGTAGCGGTGGCGGATGCCGTAGAGCTTTTCCGTGTCGTCCCAGATAGCGAAGAAGCGCAGCACTTCGCGGTCGTGTGCCAGAAAGCGGCGCAGGTGGTCGCTTGGCCGTGCGAACTTGCCCAATGTAGCCTCCATGAAGTCCTTCATCGGGTACTTCTTCTTGCCGTAGTGTGCATCAGGGTCCTGGCCAGTCTCACGGGCCATGTGCGCTTGACGCAACACAGTGTATGGGTCGCGGGGTACATCCTCATCAGGAGGCACATAGATCCCTTGCGAGACGAGATAGTTTCGTGTGAACTCGTCAGCTGAAATGAGATGGAACGTTCGTCCGTAGAAGGTCAGCTCTTCGCCCACGTTGAGATGACGCACAGTGAAGAATTGCATGTTGCCACGATCATCGCTCTCAGGCATCGGGATGCGGTGCCGCTTGACAAAGTTGCCCTGCAGGATACCGCTGTTCTCGACTTTGGGCTCCGTGATTTGCAAGGTATCGTCTTCGAGGTAGTATAGCACTTCGCAGCGCCGCACTCGGTAGTTCTCCATATTGCTCTCATGCACTGCTTCAAGGAAGTACGCTTCGAAACGCAACACTTTCTTGTCGTTCGCGATGAACTTCGGATTGAACGGGCGAGTGGCCGTGAGTACAGATGCGGCCAACAGCGTAGAGCTCCCCGTGTCGCCTTGACGCTCGAGCTCTCGGATGTAGAACGATGCAGGTTTAGCGTTACCCAGTGCGTGTCCACGGGTCTTCGGTGCTGTGTCGCCGTGGCGCCGGAAGATCATAGGCACCACCTTTTGTTTTTCCAGGATCGCCGGGCTCGGCATGGTCGATGGCCAGTAGCTAGTGGGGCTTCCGTGGTCTCCTCAGGTGTGCTAGCTGGCCTCTCTTCTGCTTTTGGCCAGCCTGCGCCGTCTTGTTGTTGCTGCATTCCCATGGACTATAGATAAATCGCCAAACGAGCGGTACCATGTCTTCAAATAGACTTCGTCGCCCGAATATTTTGGTTTGCGGTTGTAACAGCAGTTGATGCGCTTGAAGTGGTCTTCGTGAAAACCGGTACCTACGTTATAGGAACTCCTCAACGTAGATGCTATCAACTCGCGGTCGCATGCGCATAGTAGAAGATCCGATCCTAAGCAACCGCTGAGTTCGTTCGCTTGGACCACCTGGCTCATGCGACGTTGTGTCCTTTGGGTTGGAGGCGAGTGCATCCTCCGGGATATCCGGCTTTCCCGATTGGGACCGAGATTTCAATCGTGCTGCGTCTTCGAAGTAGGCTTCGACCACGAACGCGACTACAAGGCTCAGCACCACGACAACCCCAACAACATAGAAACTCACGAAGTAAATACGACTCCACTTCGTCGTCACGGCCACTGCACCTTCCATTGTCACAAACCACTGCAAGCAGAGTAACAAAAGTTAGAAGTGCATAGTAATTGTGGCGGGAAAGTTTTGCATGAACTGACATTATTCACGATCAGGAGCTCAAATAGAGTCGTCATTGATGATGCGAAGTCGTTGAAGTTGTTGCTGTAAAAGTTAGCCTGGCCGTACGTGATGTCGGCCAACCGTAGATCGCCAACGACCAGTTTCCCTCCAAAGAGCTGCATACCCACTGCTGCGTATACGTACATGAGCACCCCTAGCATTCCTGTGCAACAACAAACAAAAGCCGAGTGTGAAGTCAGTGCTATATGTACGCAGTGCTGATCTCATAAAACCCCGATCGTACCATAGAGAGTCATGAAAGCTGGGATCAATCGGACAACGATGGCAAACATGGAGCTGAGAGCTTGAAGTGCAATGAGTAGTCGTAGACAGCGCAAAAAGCGGAACAGCAGAAGGAGTCGGATCCATTGCCACTCAATTTCAGAGCTGTTGGTGTGCACGCTCACCTCCGCGACAAATATCACAAGCGTAACTGTGCAGTCATAGATGTTCTTGGGTGTAGTAAAGTAGCTGCCCGAGCGAAAAACATATATCTTCAGCAGCATTTCAATGATATAGGCGATTGAAAATGCAGGCATCCATCGCTCCCACGAAAGGCTCACAGCCACGTCGCCGCGAATCTTGGCCTCGATTTCCACAAGAATTGCGACCAGATTTAGTAAGATGATCAAATCGACCGATCTATCAAACCACCCCCGCGCTACAAAGCGCTGAACAGCGCGAATGATCACATAGTTGCTTGGCTGCCGCAGTTCACGCACAACTTTGGCTGATGCTTTCTCGCGCGCAATGAACGCTTTGATGAGAACCACAAATTCTTCAAAGGCGATCGGTTCGTCTCTCGCGTCTTCGATAGCTATGAAAGTATCTTCCATAGTAGAAGACTCATCATCACGGAAAAGCGACAGCGTTGGACGCATAAGCCTGTTCACTAGATGATTGTAGGTCACTCGACCGACAGTTTTGGTCTGACCTGCATCCTCCGGCGCATCTTCCTCAAAGATAACTCGTTCGGTCGGTAGTAGATGGAAAGCAGCTTGCAGCGCCAAATTTCTCTTGGTAGAGTAGTCCACTGCACGCTCAGCGATCTCCTGTCGATAGTGCTGATAGATGGAGGCAAACACGAGATTCATCACGAGTAGCTGACCGATCATTAAGAAGCTGATGAAAAAGAGGCTATACACCCGCGCCTGTGAGTAAATGGGCATCATGACATCCGGAAAATTGGCGGTCGTAAGAAGAATGATGAGACTCATACATGCGTCTTCGAACGACTTGAAATATGTCTCAGCTTCCGAACTCCCGACGAAGAGTACCATGCCAAGAACCGCGTATAGTACGACGAGAAAGACCAAAGTTATTAGGCCGTCTGCAAAGCGTGGTAAAGCCCTCAAGAGGCTGGAGAAGCCCGCACGGAGGCGGTGACTCATGGTGATCATGATGAACGGACGAATAAGTGGTGCGAGCACAATAGGCTTGGCTGCGTTAGTGGCTGGGCCATTTCTGCCGCCCTTGTCGTAATGAGAATTTTCCAGGCCTTGATCCTCCGGTGCAATAAGCACTGTGACCACTGCCACAAAATCCGCCAGTACGAACACGATCTGTAAAACATGCCATTTATCCACGAAGTATACCCGCGATCCCATGTACTTATACTTCATGGAGAGCTCCAAAGCCAAAAACGCAAGACACGTCAGCTCGATTGCGATAGAAATGTTTTGAGGGAGCATCGGCAGACCCCACGTAAGAACTTCAGAGTGGTCACCACACGATGGCAGGAAAAAGCACCACGATGGAGTTTCAAAAAATGCCAGCGTCATTAACACGCACATATTGGCGGCTCGGATGTACCACAGACCATGAAAGAGCTGCTTGTAATGCATCCTGCTCAATCCATCCACCAGGTATTCCTCTCCAAGAAACCGTCCACGGATAGCATCACGCACGAACAGAGCTGCCAATTCAATCCGCTTGTCGTCAACTTCCCGTTTCCTACTATATCGGCTGGATGGTCCTCGTGAAAACGATCCTAACGGCGTTGCAGCTTCATCAGCCAAAATTTGTGCGTAGACCGGATCTTGTCGGTGAAGACTGGGGCGTCCATTGTGGTCGGGACCGCGCAGCTCGTCGACAAAGCGCGTGAGCTCGCGACGATAGAAGACAATATACCCGAGCAGCAACACACTAGTAACGGATACGAACAACATCGAGACAACCATGAAGAAAGCGCTTAGTGATAGCACGCAGCCCGCGAAGGCTGTCCATTTCGAGTACTATAGAGAGTAATACGTGGACCCAGTTAGCACGAGTTAGCAAACACAAACACAAGCCACTTTACTTACCATTCGGAAAGACGGGCGAAAGGCTGAAGATGACAAGTCCTGGAAGAAGCACGCGAAATTGAGCAGGGAGAACGTAAGTAGAAACGTCGAGCTTACGACAGGAACAACGGCGTCCACTGTTCCGCATAACAAAGCGGCTTGGCACAAAATCCAGGTGGACACAAGTGCAAGCACGGAGGGCTTGTGTTCTGTAGGAAAGTTGCGTGGCGACTGAAAACGCTCGCCTTCTGCAATTGCCTCTTTTGTCATAGATGAAAGCCGAGAAGCATCGGGCCGTGGTGGTTGAGTGTAGAGCGTCGCGAAAATGGTGGAGGCCCCTTTAATGTTAGAGAGCGCCGATGACAATGTTGTGGAGGCAACGCCCAAAAAGATTATCGGCACCCCTAGAACGGAATCCACCACAAGAGGTACCACGAACGGTTCCTTCTCCAGCACGTTATTTCTCACACAAGCAGCGAGTACGAAGCCAAGGCCCAGGTACACCAGAAAGCTGAACGCTAGCGCTTTGTGTATCCCCAACAAGAAATACTGGGATGCCTTTCTCACAACCGCAGATGACGCTCGAGCCGCCGTTCTTTCGGATACATACTCCGCCAAATTTGCCCCGGCAATAACCCCACAGAACCCAGGAAAAAACGTAGCGAACATCCGCCTGAACATCTTTGGCGTGTGCTCGACCGAGTTCTCTCTGAAATAATCCATTGACATTCCCGTGTGCTTGGACGTGATCGGAATCGACAGAAACAACACATTGCACGCTACTGCCACCATAACTAGCACGAACGCTAGCCGTAGAGCTCGTAACGTGATGCGGATCTGCACTCCATACATCAGTCCGGCGAGTATCGCGCTCGCTACAGCCACAGTCACAGCTGAGGCGTCCTTGTTCCAGGGCAGAGGGTACCTCTTATTATCTTGGATCCCCACCACAACCATAGCCAGCTCGCTGAACCCCAACAGGTAGAAGGCCGCACCGATCCCGAAGGAGATGTACAGCATGAGACCGATCATGTGTCCCAGTCGATGGCCCAACGATCTTCGCAGCGCGTTGAACAGTCCACCACCAGCTTGCGCCACGCCATCTCCCGTGGATGCCAACGCGGACATGGACATAACTGTGAGGAAGGTAATTATGAAGGCCGCGGAGATGACGAGCGCGGCGTAGTAGACGCCCAGCGTCCCCACGACGACTCCGAGGCGCATGAAGACGACGACGCCCAGAATGCTGCAGACCACGGGCGCGAACGTGTTGCGCTCCAGCTTGCGGCTCATCGTCTGCAGAGAGTCTACATGGGTGGCCTGACTCGCGAGGTGCTGCATCAGGCCCTCGCGCGGCGGCGAGAGGGTGCCGTACGTCGCCATCGCGGCGGGGCAGAATTGAAAGAGTGATGGTCACGACTTCAATCTCCTTCTAAGTACGATCTGGTGTGGTGCACTTCGGGGTGTAATTTTCTTGTGGTGGGCAGTTCTGACTGGTGGTGGGCGTAGGCAGCTCTTCCACCCCAAGAGAGAATCCTCCCCGACGACCGAGAGCGAGCAAGCATGGCTGAGACCCCCAACAGCGCGGCCGTGGTGCCCGGCGAGGAGACGACGCAGGCGCAGGAGATCCTGCACCTGCAGTGCCGCTTCTACGAGCAGAAGTTCCCCGAGATCGATGAGCTGGTCATGGTGAACGTGCGCTCCATCGCCGAGATGGGCGCGTACGTGTCGCTGCTCGAGTACAACAACATCGAGGGCATGATCCTGCTGTCCGAGCTGTCGCGCCGCCGCATCCGCTCCATCAACAAGCTCATCCGCGTGGGCAAGAACGAGGTGGTCATGGTGCTGCGTGTGGACAAGGAGAAGGGCTACATCGATCTGTCCAAGCGTCGTGTGTCCCCCGAGGACATCGCCAAGTGCGAGGAGCGCTACAACAAGGCCAAGACGGTGCACGGCGTGCTGCGTCAGGTGGCCCAGGAGAACCACCTGGAGATCGAGGACCTGTACTCGAAGGTGGCCTGGCCGCTCTACAAGAAGTTCAAGATCGAGACGGTCAGCGACGACGAGAAGAAGGTCGAGTACGTGCACTGCTACGACGTGTTCAAGATGGGCATCACGGACGACTCGGTCTTCGAGGGACTGGACATTACGCCCGAGATCCTCGCGGCGCTCAAGGCTCAGATTCGCCGCCGACTAACCCCTCAGCCCATCAAGATCCGCGCGGACATTGAGGTCACGTGCTTCACGTACGAGGGCATTGAGGCCATTCGCTCGGCCCTGCAGGCTGCTCAGAACATTGGCACGGACGACGTGCCCGTCAAGGTTAAGCTGATCGCGCCGCCGATGTACGTCATGACCACTAGCACGCTGGACAAGCAGAAGGGCATCCAGAAGCTGCAGGAGGCCATCGAGGCTGTGCGGGAGCACATCACGGCCAAGAAGGGCACGATGTCCGTCAAGATGGAGCCGAAGGTGGTGAGTGTGAACGAGGAGAAGGAGTTCCTGCAGATGATTGAGAAGCTCGAGAACGAGAACCGTCTCGTGGACGGCGACGCCCCCGAGGATTAGAGAGGCACAGATCAGACAGGAGCGAGTTCGGTTATGATGGACGATGCCGAGGACTTTTCGTTCGAGCTTAGCAACTTGCGCGTGCTGCGGGCTTCCTGCCGCACCCTCGCCGTGTACACCACTTGTGGCTCGAAGCTCGTCGGTTCGCCTGTGACAGATTAGATGGCAGCGCTCTGCATGCACACTCAATACAGCTGAATGCACTGCGCACCTTTGTGGTGGTGAATTCGCGCTTTTATATACTGCTTGTTTTCTTGGTTTCTGAACGGTGGTTCATGTCGACGCAAGTCAAATAGAAATCATATTACTCGCACGCCCAAAATTACCAGCCTCTCTTCCTTTACAAAGTTGACTCCTCAGTAATCCGCATGCGTTTGTACTCATTGTACTTCTTCGAGGACCCTCGAACCTGCAACCGGTAACAAACAACAGTTAGGCAACGCCTTGAAGCCGAAATACCAACTTGCGCATATACGAACCAACTCAGCAGGGTATTTCCTGGCGTTCTTGGCGATCTTGTCGTTCAAAGCAGCAGGCAGGTTGACATCACACTTGTCAGCAAGACGCACAAGGTAAATCAGCACATCGCTGATTTCCTCGCCCAGGTGCTCCTTTTCCCTGGCAGACCAATCTGTCACAAAGCAGAGCAGCACGTTAGCTTGACAGTAAAACACGTCAACGGATAGCGAAGTCGAAAAGTACCTGCAGTGTCCTTAACCTCGCCCTTCCACTGGAAAATCTCGCACAGTTCACCCATTTCTCCATTCAGGGCCAGCAACAGGTTCCGAGGTGTGTGGAACTGTAAGAAAGAAACACAACGGGTTAGTATTGCGCGGGGTTACAATTCATAACACCCCCAGTCTTACCTGATTCCAGTCGCGTTCATCAGCAAAATCAGCAATGCGCTTGCGAAGTGACTCCAGAGTCATGGTTTCTTCAAATTTTGCAGGGGGCTGAATGCCGTTCGTAGGGGGAATGCCGCTAACGGTAGTGGCAACAGCAGAAACATCGGTGGTGGACGTCTGGCCAGCGGAGCTTGAGAATACGTCTTCAGTCATGGTGCTGTCCATGGTACCATCCAACAGCGTCTCGCTATCGTGGCCGGATGAGGTCAGGATATCCGTTGCATCAACAGATTGGGCTTGCGCTTGGCTGTTGTTGTGCTGTAGCTGCTGCGGGGATTGCAACATCACCTGGGCCCGAGCTTGAGCGTCTGTCATCGCCTGCAACGCCTGGGTCTGTGCAAACTGGTAGACCTGTTGAGCCTGGGCGTCCGCTTGAGCCTGAGCTTCCGCACGTGCCTGCGCCTCATGGTGTGCGACGGCCTCAGCTTCCAGGTCCTCTCTCATTTGCCTCTCGTACGCCGCTTGCGCCGCCTCCGCCGAGCTTTCATGGTCCTCGGATGTCATCACGTGCTCAATCTGATGCACGTGGGTACTCGTCGCCGCCCCCGCCGTCTGTCCAGCCGACGCCGAGTCATTTTCGTCGTGCGTGCCCAGCTCATAGTCCGACTCATGCAGAGCACCACTCATCATCTTCATCGAGTCCGGGCCGATGGGGTGGTTGTGCTTGTCATGCATGCGCACCTTCACGCGGTACGTGGGGCCGTACTCCACCGCCGACGCGTAGACGTGGAACGGGCAGCCGATGTCGCGCAGCTTGTGCCGCAGCCGCTTGCCGCTGCCCCGCGAGCGGAACTTGATGCCGTGCGTGCACTTGAAGGTCTTGGACAGGAACTCGGCGATGTTCTTGCGGTTGTGGCGGCCCTTGGACACCGTGCGGTTGTACACCTCGAAGGTGAGCGACGAGCGCTTGCGGATCGGGTGGTACGCCGCCGTAGCGCGCACGATGGCGGCGTCGAACGCCGCCCAGTCGTCGTAGAACTCCTCGAAGAGCGGGCGCTCCGGCTGGGCGGCCTCCACCGCAGACGCCGCGGCCGTGGCGAGGCTCTCCTCCGTCACGGAGGCGGCGGCCGAGGCCTCGGCCGCCGCCTTCATCTCCTCGAGCGACTTGTTGAGCTCCATGACTGGCAAAATGACTGGGATGGGCGCTAATAATAGCGAGTCCAGTATGGATACAAAGTTCAAGTGTAGTCAGAGTGATGGTAACTGCAACGCGAATCAACAGCATTGCGCACTCGGCTTAGTGGGGTAAGACGATGTATGGCGCGCCGCCGCCCCCGGACGAGCTGCGGCAGGCGCTGCAGCGCCTCCAGCGCGAGAAGGGCGAGGCGGACGGCATGCTGCAGCTTTTGAGGTCCAAGCTGCACCAGGTGGAGGAGGACAACTTCGATCTGCACTCCAGCATGGCGGCGTTCGAGGCCGAGACGCGCTTCGAGAGCGACAAGAAGGAGCGCGAGCTGCGGGCGCAGATCACGGCGCTCGAGTCCAAGCTCTCCTTCATGTCCTCGAAGCTGCAGAACGCCGAGCGCGTCAAGCTGCGCGCCATTAACGAAGTGGAGGAGCTGCAGCAGAAGCAGCTCGTGGAGAGGAAGCGCCGAGACGCCGAGAGACGGCTCATGGCCACCAAGCGCCGCAAGCACGAAAGCTTCATGGCCAGCCAGTCCATGATGAGTCAATCCATGATGATGTCTCAGAGTCAGAGGCAGTCGCAACAGTTCGCCAAGCCACCGCCCGCGCCAGTGGTAGAAACTGCGGTGCAAACAGAGCTCAAGCTTGACGACGAGGGCGGGAAGCAAGGCGGTAACCAGCTCCAAGAGGAGAACGCCCGGCTCGTGTCTTATTTGTTGACGGGGACTTCGAGGGATTTACTTACGCTTTTGAACGGAACGGTTGCTGTTAATGTTGGAGAGGACGCGAACCCCTGTGGCGATGAGGATCGGACGCAGCCTCCGCAAGGCTGTCATAGTGCTACGCCATCGCAATATTTCCAGGGCTCATCGGGAAATTCCTTCAACGACTCGATGATGCAGCAATCGCCGGCTGGAGTACCATTTTCGCAGAGTGTTTTCTCACAAGTTGCAGGACGTGCATCTGCCCAAGCCCACGCGTCACTTGTGAGTTTTGCTATGGAGACAAAAGCTGCGCAAACGACGTTGGCAACCGATCGTGCACGAGAGCTGTATGATGTGATGGGGAGAATGCTGGCAGGAGACGTATCCGCTGTCGCGCTTGCACCTGTGTTTGTGAAGTATCTCGCGGCGCCGACAGACCTCGAAGTGCCTGTGATCTGCAGTGTTTTGCGCGTTATGTACTCGGTGATACACCACAGCACACACTTCCAGCACTTTCTCCTAGTGGCGTCGTCACCTTCCGATGAATCATCATCGACTTCTGTCGGACTCCAGAGAGGTGCAAACAACATGGAGCATTCACGGATCGCTTTACCGGGGTTGCGCTTCACCTCGCTGGATGACTATTTGTCGGCTCGGACGGACTATGAATCGGTTGTACACAGCGATTTACTACAACTCTCAGCTGTAGAAGTTGCTTCGGAGCAGCGCCAGCTTCGTTACAAGTTGATGACAGGACTCTGCCGTGTTATCAAGAACAATCTTAAGGAACCTGCGGTCGTCAAGGATGGCCTGTGTGTGCTTTGCTTGTGCGTCGACCTCGGACTTACTCATCGGCCCGCGTTGACGCCAGACTTCAAGCCCTTGCTGACAACTAATGTAATCCCAGCTATATTGTTGGCACCTAGGGGCCCTCCTGCAGTCAAGGCACAAGCTGTTGGACTACTCTCTCAGCTGCTGCGTGTGCCAGAAGTATTTGCTGAAATCGAGACGGAATCGAAGAAATCATTGGTGTTCAACCGATGCGCCAAGATGTTGGCATCCGAAGAAAATACAACATTGGATGAAGCGAAAAATATGCGAACGCTTCAACATCAGATTGTCAAGCTGCTGCTATCGATCACCACGTCGTTCCCATCGGTAGGGATCCGATTCGTGCTGGAGAGCACCCGTGGTTTTCCCAGTGACTCGGACGGGTATCGCTCCGTTATTTATTATTTGGTGCAGCTACTGCATCAGGAGACGTTTGATCTACGGACATCAAATTCTGGTGGAGACTATTGCGTTGCGCGACAATTGCAAAATGATCCGTTTCGGTTGGATCTCATCCAAGATGCGTTTGCTCTGCTTGGGCTTCTATCGCGCTACGTGGATATTCCGAGCGAGCTCAATGGCGATGATCAGGTCCAAACGTTTCTCGCGGTTTTATGCTTTCTAAGCAACCTTACTCAAGACGATGGCAGCGGTGTGCGAAACGACTCGATTGTGGCAACGGCACGCGCCTTAGTTTCCATGATGAACTTACCGGGGCAGTGATTTCAGGTGAATCTGACCGGTAAGATCAGTTGAGCCCTGCGCTCGAGCGTATTGGTTAGAGATAGACGCCTCTTGATCGAGCATCTCCATCGCGCAAATTTCTGGAGACCTGCGATTGTGCTGTCGCGCGTATTTCGAGGAACTGAATGGAACACGAAACTAACTTGCAGTCCCATCGACTACGTATATTGACTATGTCATTTTCTATCGTTGGAGGAGCATCGGGAAGCTGTTGGCATTTCACAAATAGGAAGCAAACCAGGAAGCGCTCGGCCCAAGATCCAACAAATTTCTTCGCGGTCCTGTTCGCTGAAGGAGCATGGGGAAGTTTGCAGTCTTTCAGACGCTGCTGTTTTTCCTGGTTGTGGTATGCGTTGACGTGGCGCTCGCGTCGGACAAGTGTATGCTTCTCTACGCGCTTGAAATCAGCTCGAGTTGCGGCAAACTAACTTGTAATGTGTTTTGTTTGTCTAGCATGTTTTGAGCTGCCGATCGTGATCGTGTCACCAAACAAGGTGAAGTTGCCGACTGAAACCTGCAATCAGCCTCGCCTCCCCGCGCCAGATTGCATGAGGGACCCTGTTGAAGCCAATATCGAGGTGATCGACAACCAAGGTTCATTGAATTGCCTGGGAGGAAATCGGACCGCAGTTTATCCCGCAAGCGTTCACTACCGGGGGCAATCCAGCCTCCATTTCACGAAGCACCAAATGGCGGTCGACTTGGATGAGGACGCTGAGCTCCTGGGATTTCCAGCAGATCGCTCCTACATCCTGAATGGTCCTACTGTTGATGGAAGCTTGATGCGGAACCACCTCGCCCACTGGATGTACCGTGGCACCGGGCGTTATTCACCTCGGACGCGCCATGTCGTGGTGTTTGTTCGCGATGAGCTGGATGCAGATGACTGGAGCCCACGATACCGCGGACTCTACTTGGCTCTCGAGAAGATCGCGTACACGCCGAATCGCGTAGGACTTTCTGTTTTGGACAATTTATGTCAGTCCAAGGAAGAGCTATCAGGTGGTTGGGCGTGGCAAAATAATCCACTCGGGTATGGTGACTACTCGCCCAATGTCGTGCTGAATGAAGCAACGGGATTGTTTGGTGCTGGTGCGCGACCGATTCTGACGTACCCCGAGCCGAAAATGCTGACACAGACCATGCGTGATTACTTCATCTCCCCTGAAACCGGCCCACTCCCGCGTCTGTACCAGTATCTTTATGATAACATGACCCACCCGGATGGACTCGAGGAACACATTGATATCGGGTCATTTGTGGATTACTTCCTGCACTCTGAGCTGTCGGTGAACTCAGACGCCTATCGCCGCAGCACATACTTTTTCAAGGACCGCAACCAACCCATCAACGCTGGACCTGTCTGGGATTTCAACTTGGCGTACGGGCTGGGTGGCGCTACGACGACTTGGATGTACACGATTCATACATTCTGGAAGAGGCTGGCGTGCAACTACAAGTTCGCATCGCTTGTTCAGCAGCGTTGGGTGAAGTTGCGGTCCAATACGTGGAGTGACGAGTCTATCCAATCGTTTATTCAATCAAGCGCTGAGCCAATTCGTCGTCAACTAAAGAACTGCGCCGACTGGAAGAGCGATAACATTCAGTGCGCGAACGTGGAGGCTAAAACGAAGGGTGGCTTCGACGACATGGTAAACCAATTGCTCGAGGCGGTGCTCGCTCGTGCGCGTTGGATGGACTCGAGTGTGCCTGGATTCTACAAGACACTGGACCGTAACCTCTGTGTGGCTGCTGGTGAGCTCCCTGCGTATAATTGCGCGGCTGACGGTAACGACAAAGGTTGTCTGGTGAACCCGAGCACCTACAGCAGTGCGGTTGAGTTTCCTGAGCCTCGCAAGCCTGCTGCCGCTGAGTCCTGTGGCTCATCCCAAGTGTCGAATGCTGTGACAGCAGCGGTGGAGAAACCATCGATTGACCCTTGCTGGCTATCTGCAGGAGTGTACATGTCGGACGGATCGATAACACCTTTCTGCTCGGGCTACGGCTTTTGCCCCGAGGGCCCAGGCGCGAAGTGCACATGCCACAGTGGACACCCGGCTCCAACTTGCGCTCGTGATGACGACGCCATCATCCCTCGTGGTGGACTCATCGAGGAGAGTGTTGTCTCGCAGAAATCGCCCCCAATCAAGCCCTTGGATGAATTGTCAAGCTTCGACGAATATCTTCGCTATCCGCTCTTCTTCCTGTGCGCTGTTCCAGCAATGGCTCTGGGAGTGGTGTTGGCAGCTCGTCAACGCCGTCGCCAGCACTACGTTCGTCTGCGTCACCGGGCTGTTGGATCGATGACTAGCCATGGCCACGATGGGCATGAACTTCACTACGGAACTTCGTAGGGAGGGCAACGCTGCTTCTGCTTTGCTGGATAAGGCGCTACCTCGCCAATCTATGAATATATGAATCTTTCGACTCAATTTACTATTCTTTGTTTCATCCATCGCAGCTTGCGGATTGAATGTGCCTCGTAAGAACAAGCATAATCGGCGCCTGCTCCCCCACGTCTATTGATTCACAGAAGACTGATAACGACAATACATTGTAGCTGTTTGGAGTTGCAATCTTCCTGTTGATGAATATACCTATTCAATTGTCTTGTTCTTCCTGCCTTGGAGCAGGGATCTTGGTGCTGTCTTGCCATTCTCTCTCCGACGCATTTACTTGTCTAAACGTGCCAGAACTTCGGTCAGGTTTTCGTCGGGTCCAATCTTACCCAAGCTCTCGAAAAGAAGCACAACCGCCGTGAACAGATTGTTCCCCACTTCGGTCTCAACTTTGTGCGCCATGGAGTAGCTGAACGCGTTCACTGATGACACGAAGATCGTCGCGGATGGAGCAAGGTGGGGAAGCGCCTTGTATACGTGCAAACTCTCGACTGACAGAACGTTGTGAGGGGTCGAATACATGCTCTCCAGGCGCCACGATCGAGTCAAAAAGTCTTCTCCGTCGCACGGCACCACTGACTGGCGAGTTTTCTTGTACGATAACAGTCCTCGACGGCTCTCCGTGTCGGTCGTCGATGTCAGCAGGTGGTGCTTCTCGAACGGATACTGGATCAATTCAGCGATGTCGACATCGGCAGTGATCGAGTGCGCGACGCGTACGTTCTTCAGGAATGATGCGTCCATCTGCGCGTTGAGTTTCTGGTCGGCCGTGATAGTGGGCAGTGCCATGGACATCGTGTTCTTGAGGTTGGCGTCGATCTCACGAGTGGCACGGCCGGCCAAGTCCCAGAACCCCGTCGTCAGCATGTCCACCCCTTCCGTTGTGAGCCAGTCGAGGTCGGTGGTGGCTGTGAACATGCCCACTTGGTCTTCCTCTGCGGGGTGCTGCACGAGCCTGCGCATGTTACAGTCGACATCCACCGCCAGTCGGAACGGGTTGAAGCGTCCGCGTTGCTCCTTGCTGCTGCGTACGCGGTAGAACGCCAATAGGGCGACGACGATCAAAGCTCCGTCCAAGGCCACGCACTCTTTCCTGCACTTGGCTAGGGCGTCACGCATGCACTTGGACTCTCCATCAGCGAACAGCGCACTGGTCGTGTTGGTCACAGGAGGAACTGCAAAGTCCTTCTGGTCCGCTCTTGCGGGCAGCAGAGGTGTGAACTTGTGGACACTTCCTCGGAACCTGCGGCGGCCGAAGATGGCGTTGGTCCCCTTGAGCAGTGGCTTGGCCCACGTGATCTTGTTTAGCCACATGCGGTAGAGCGACGGACGCAACGGGAACTCCGTGATCAGCGAGGAGGTTGGGGTCGTTTGCTCCGACGATTCGTGCTGCGAGGCTTGTCGAGCGAGTCGTGATACCTGTTCGAGGATGCAATTGAGCACCACGACACCGGAGAAGCCGTCCGACATGTACTGGTCCGAGAAGAGCATGAGGCGCGCAGTGTCCTTGCGTTTGGCCACCCACGCGACAAGGTAGAACGGCAGTTGGCAGTGGCGGTCGAAGCCGACGCTGCACTCCTTCTCCACGAAAGCCTGCCAGCTTGTGGGGCTGCCGTCTCCGTAGTCTGCAGGTGACAGCATCCGCACCCGCAGTAAACTGTCGAGGGTGTCCGCCGTCACTGGCGACTGAATCTCCGCCGTGAACGGCTGGTCCTTGAGTTGAAGGGCTCGCATCCGAGGGTGCATGTTGAAGGTGTGGATCACAGCAGTGGGCAGGAAGCGCAGCAGAACTGCCGTGTCGCCTCGGACGAGCATCGAGTGCGCGATCTTGGTGGACACACCGTCGGTAGCGGAGACCATGCGCTCAACGCCTCGTAAAGATACTCGACTGCCGGACGCACTAGTCGTATCAGTGCTCATGGTCGAGTTGATTAGCTGGTTGGGTAGGTAACAAGCCGCAGGTAGCTGGGGTGCTCGATAGGAGTCGAAATGGAGAGTGAGCGAGGACTGGTGCCAGCAATTAACGCCCAAGGAATGCCAATAGTGATGGTTCGTAAGGTTGCAACCCTTAACTTACATGCCGGACATGCGTCTCTACCTTGGATGGCCGAGTCGCTGTCATGGAACGAAATGTGGAAAACTGGATGTGCGAGTGACCAGTTTGTGGAACCCATGCTGTCATCGGAGGTGCCTTACAAAAGGGGGTTCCATCAAGAGTTCTGGATCGTGTCGTCGAGAGATCTGCATAGTTGCAGCAGTGAAGACGATTCGTGTCTGCGCTGGCGGTTGAGGTCTAATTTTTGCGAGGAAGTTTTGCATCGTCTCCTATTCATAGCTAGCCTGGTTGACAATGTCAGTGGCAGTCCGTTCACTCCTTGAAAGTTGGTGGCCATGAGCTGGGTGGTGGCTGAGAACACGCCGACGGCGACAGTCGTCTGGATGGCGGCCGAGCTGATCGGCAAAGCGCAAAACCACGAGCAGCTCCAGAGAATCTGCGACTACCTCGTCAAGTTCGTTGAAAAGTCATGCAATGATCGGCCACATTCGATGCCATACATTAAATATTATCTTGCTCTGCCGTAGCAAACACTGGTTCCAGACGGCCGCTGACTTGAGAAGCGCTCGACGAGAGACGACGGAATGGCAGGCGTATGCTGTCAAAGCCACTTCTTACTTCTTGTCCTTATAGCACAGTTCTCTAATAATGTTTGTGTGATCATTTTGAGCAGACTGGAGGTGCCCGGGCGGCTGAAGCTTGCCATCCAGCAAGTCCTCGACCAGACAACGCCTCACCAGGAACCGTTCTCAACATTTGGCTACGAAGACTACTACGCTGCCGTTCGTCCCTCAATTTCATCAGAGGGTGAAGCAGCGACTCAGTCGTGGTCGGACGCCACAGCTGCGTATGATCAAGCTCAGACCGCTGCAGCGGACTTTTACGCGGGTAGTTATACCTACCCGGTCAGTGATACAACAACCGGCACAACCGCAGAGCGGTATAGCTACGACCAAAGTGGATACGCCACCAATCCACCGACTTACGAGGAAAGCTATGGTGCCGATCACGAGACCTACTGCAACAGTAGCGCGACCTCCGGTTACAATGAAAGTGGGGCGGCAGCGACTACCTTGTTAAGTTTGCAGAGCAGCTCTGAGCAGGTGTTGCTCGATGACAGCGACGTCGTTGAAGCACAAGTCATCGACGCGGAGGTTGCAGAAGAGTGTGTAGAAGCCGAGGCCGCCGAAGTTACTCCAGAGCAGCCTCAGGACATGTATGCGGAGCCTGCGCTACAAGATCGGCCTCAACTAGACGCGAGGGACACAGTTGGGACCTGGAGCTGCGGGCAGTGCACGTACATGAACCCGATGACATCCTCATTTTGTGAAATGTGTATTGGCCACATCTCGCTGTCACCCGACGTTAAGACTACGGCTGGTACCAGTGTTTCGGCCTCCTTGCTCATTCCCGCCAAGCCGGTGGTTGACGTGGAGATGACCTCGCCTCGGGTAGAACCTTCTACCGATATGCGCTCTCCGCAGCCAAGCGTGACTTGCATGCTGCCTTCTGTTGCCTCGCTGTACTCTCCTTCGGCACCAGACTACGAAATGTGTGAAGACGAACGAGTAGATTCAACTCCGCTGCCCCCGCCGCCACCATACCCAGGTACAAGCAGCTGTGGAAACGTCGACTTCTTGGCACTTGCCTTCAGCGGCAGTAGTGCCCCCAAAACTCAAGCATTAGAGTCCCCTCCAGCAGCAAAAGCCAGCCAGATGCGGTGTGAAGAGGCCACCACCATCACTGAGTACACATTTTAGACTAGCTCCAAGATGCTCTTGACGCTCAAGGCGATAAATTCTACAGAACTCACAAAAGTTTCGCCTTACTTTAGTCTCTAGTCTATAGCCCAAGTTTTACTAAGCGGTCTGTTCCTCCGAGTGCTGGCGGGGGCGCTCGACGAGCTGCTTGTCTTTAATTTCAAATATGCTGGAGAAGCACGGAGTGATCTCGTCCTCGTGGTGTGTGATCAGCACCATGTGCGTCTGCTGAGCTGCGTGCTGCCCAATGGCTTCAATCACTCGCAGCACGTGAGCGCGGTTGAACGGGTCCAGACCATGCGTGATCTCGTCCAAGATCAGCAGCTTCGGGCGTGCAGCCAGAGCCCGAGCAATCAGCACAAGCTTCTGCTCGCCCTGCGACAGCTCAGACAGACTACGCGTCTCGATGGCGTCGGGCAGCGCCAATAAACTCTTGGCGAGCTTGGCCGTTTCTGGGCTTTCAGCGTTGCTCGCAATGAGGCTGAAGGCAGTTTGGTCTTCTGCGGCTCCATCGCGCTGCAAACTTTTGTGTAGAAGCTGAATGTGCTGATCAGTCGAGATGGCTTCCCTTCTCGGCTTCGAGGAGGCAGTCGAATCCTCGTTGGATGGGACTGCGCTCGAAGGGCGCACCGGCTCTCCAACGACCACCACCTCGCCCTCAGTTAGCCCATGGCCCGGGGTCTGCATTAGCACTCGCATGAGAGAGCTTTTGCCGGACCCGTTCGGTCCCAGCAAAACCCAATGTTCGTGGGTCTTCCGCGCGAAATCCACATTATCCAGCAGGATACGCTTCTGGTCGTACGAGATCGAAACGCCATTAAGCTGGACGGCAGGTGTCTCTGTGGAGCCAGTCTCAGCTTCATCCTTACAGTCAAATAGTTGCTCGACGAGCGACACCAGTTCCGTATCCGTCATCTTCAAGCGCTTCTCGTGCTCTTCACCGTAAAATTCTTCCAAACGCTTCATCATAGCCTTGTTGCGCACGTCGTCTTCCTTGTCCTCCGGCCACGCCACCACTTCCACTGTGTCCTGCTCACCCTGTTCATCTTCACCCTGCTTCAACAAGACCGTGTGCGAGAAGATCTCCGGGAAGACCTGCTCCAACCTGTTTGCGACCAGCAGCACCTGCGTCTTGTACGCGAACGCCTCGTGTTTAGCACCCGTCGTCTCCACCAGCAGCCGCGTGAAGCCCCTCGTCAACTGCCCCAGCATCCACTGCAGCTGTCTCCTCGCCTTCACGTCCAGCCCGTCAAACGGCTGATCCAGAATCAGCACCGTGGCTCTCGGCGTCTCCAGCAGCGCCACCGCCAGCAGCAGCTTCCGCATTTCTCCCGTCGACAGGTGACGCACGCGCTGCTCCCAGACGGGGAACAGTCCGAGCCGCACGATCAGGTCCCGGGCAGTGGGCGACCCGATGCCGCCCAGCACGTCCGCCACCACTCGGTGGCCGTTCTCCGCCACGAACTCGCGGTGGGCGTCGAGGCTGAGGCTCGCGAGGCGGCAGGAGGCCGGCAGTTCCCCTCGCTGCTGCTGGGTCTCGACGTGCTGCTGCAGCTTGGCCAGGAAACGGGTCTTCCCGCTGCCGTTGAGCCCCACGAAGCAGTGGACGTCGTCCGGCAGCAGCTCGTACGTCGGTGGCAACGAGATGACGGGATCGGACGCGGCAACGGGCGCCGACCGCCGCGGCGCAGCGCCGTTGCCCAATAGCGTGCTAAACTCCCGGGTTGCGCTCGGATAAAGTGGAATATCGAGGCCACTACGCGGCGGTGAAGAGTGCAACAAGGCTCCAGAGCTGCGCAAGACGGAGGCGAAGCAGGTCGGCGCCTTGGATGCGCGCGCGCATTGGCCTGGCCGCCGTAGCGCCGCTCGAGCGCGTCGCAGCGACAGCATTGATGCGTGTTAAACCAAAAGGCGATTGTGGGTGGCAGATTGTGAGGACGAAAACGGTATCGCCTGTCAAATCGAATACGTAAGTACGCAAATGTCGTTTCTTACGTTCGCCCCCAGCCGTTTCGCTGCACGAGCAACGGCCGCTCATTTGCGGATCCCGAGCCAAAGGGCAACACCAGCATCAGTATCCATACGCTGTGTCAATGGCGTCGCGCGTGGTCAAGTCCTTCATCAACGGCAAGTACGTGGCCGCCAGGGCATCGAGCCAGCAGTTCACGCTGCTGAACGCCACCACGCGCCGGCCCGAGACGTCGTTCCAGGCCGCGGACCGCGCGCAGGTGGACGAGGCCGTGCAGGCCGCGCGCTCGGCCCAGCGCCACTGGCGGCGGCTGAGCCCGGCCGAGCGCGGCGCCATCCTGCGCAAGGCCGCGGACATTTTGACGCAGCAGACGGACGAGATCGCGCGCCTCGAGACGCTGGACACGGGCCGCCCCATCGCCGAGACGACGGTCACGGACGTGCTGAGCGCCACCGACTGCCTCAACTACTACGGCGGCGTCAGTCCGTCCGTGGGCGGCCAGCACCTGGAGCTCACGGGCGGCAGCTGGGCCTACACCAAGCGCGAGCCGCTGGGCGTCACGGCCGGCATCGGCGCCTGGAACTACCCGCTGCAGAGCGCGGCGTGGAAGTCGGCGCCGGCGCTGGCGTTCGGCAACTCGATGGTGTTCAAGCCGTCGGAGGAGACGCCGCTCACGGCGCTCAAGCTGGCCGAGGCCTACATGGAGGCCGGCGTGCCCGAGGGCGTGTTCAACGTGGTGCTGGGCGCCGGCGAGACCGGCCAGGCTCTGGTGGAGCACCAGGACATCGCCAAGGTCTCGTTCACTGGATCCGTCGGCACGGGCAAGAACGTGTACGCCGGTGCGGCCAAGGACTTGAAGAAGGTGACGATGGAGCTCGGCGGCAAGTCGCCCCTGATCGTGTTTGAGGACGCTGACCTCGAGGAGGCCGTGGCCGGAGCCATGATGGGCAACTGGTACTCGTCCGGCCAAGTGTGCTCGAACGGCACCCGCGTCTTCGTGCAGCGCAAGGTCTTCGACAAGTTTGTGCAGCGCGTGCACGAGCGCACGCTCAAGCTGCGCATCGGCGACCCGCTGGACCCGACCACGGACATCGGCCCCATGATCCACGAGAAGCACATGAAGCTGGTGCAGAGCTACATCGAGAAGGGCGTCGAGGAAGGAGCGACGCTGCTCAAGGGCGGCGGCGAGCGCTTCATGCCCTCGGAGGCCACCAAGGACGGGTTCTTCCTGACGCCGGCCATCTTCGTGGACTGCAAGGACGACATGACGATCGTCCGCGAGGAGATCTTCGGCATGGTCATGTGCATCCTTCCGTTCGACACGGAGGAGGAGGTGCTGGCCCGCGCCAACGACACGATCTTCGGTCTGTCAGCTGGCGTCTTCACCAAGGACATCACTCGCGCGCACCGCATGATCGACGAGCTGCAGGCCGGCACTACGTGGATCAACAACTACAACCTCGCGCCCGTGGAGACTCCGTGGGGCGGCTACAAGAAGTCGGGCGTGGGCCGCGAGAACGGCCTTGCGGGCATTGAGTCGTGGACGCAGCTCAAGTCGGTGTACGTCGAGATGAACGAAGTGTGGTGCCCCTACGCAAAGTAAGGAGGTAGGGAGTCCGTACGTCATCGATAAGGAATATACCCACCTCTGCGTTGTGAATGAATGCAAAAGTATCGATGGTTTCCTAGTGAACATGGGATTCAAAGTTCATATTACTAGTAGTACTACGTAGTACAACTTGAACATGAACATGTTTTAGTTTCGACTTACGACCTTCAACTTCTTAGACACTACGGTATGCATCCAGGCTTGACGCCACACCTTGACTTCACAGCAATGTTCAGGTGAACAGGTCGGCCTTAGGGCTTGTTGTCCTTGCCCCGAAGACGCAGCCTTCGATCGGCTTGGTCGAGTCCGTTGGCCAGTCGACCTTGAAGCTCTGGAAGGCCGTCAGGACCTGCTGCGTTCCGCAGAGCTGCGCCGAGCAGCTTTCCTTTCGGCCAGTTAATGGGTCCGTGCGGACCGCGCGCCCGTCCTTTAGGACCAGGTCTGGTGTTCCCCGCGTGCTGGAATCCTCCAGCCTCGTGTTCTTCTCCGTGACTCAAACTTCCTGGAGCTGAACCAGCCAGGTAGTGGGCGTGAGCTGGTGTCGCCGTTCCGAGAAGGGCTGCTACCCAGACGGCAGCGGTGAGTGCGCATGAAAGGAGTCTCATGTTGGTGACTTGTTCGCTTGATTCTTCGCTTGTTCGCTTCGAGGTTGCTTGGAAAATGGTGTCCTGAAAGCGAGCGCCGCTTGTGCTCCTCTATCGCATCTTGGCTTGGCAGAGTGTAAGGCTCACTAGCATCGGATACTGCAAGACGACAAGCTGCGCATCTGTGAGGACGAAATCCAATGAGAGATACTTCAAGCGAGAAGCTGCCTCGCCGTCTTACCCAATCTTGCTCCTCTTGTAGTACTAATTACCCGGAGCGCTAGTACTGTCACCAATTCTCAGCTATCAAGACATCGAGGACGGAGGCGCATACTATGTCAAACGATAATGACAGGGTCGTGCGGGATGCCTGCCCGAACTCTCAGGACAGCCACAATCTAAAAAGCCACTAACCAAGCAACCAAGCGAACGAGCAATCCCCAGGGTCTGCGTGCCTCCAAGCACCCGAGCACCATGAAGCTCCTCCACCACCTCCTCTCAAGTGCAGTCTGCGTGGCCGTCCTAGCTGCGACGACCGTCGCCAACGTCGAAGGCAAAGTGTACGACTCTGACTACGCTACGCCTGCAAAGGGTGAAGGTCACTTCGGGCCCTTCCGAGGCCCCGAGGTGGAGCACAACTTCGACCGGAGCGAGCTCTACCCCGGTCCAGAAGAGAGTGAAGACGACACCCAACTTGTTCCTGCCGCCGGTGGGGAATATGAAGACGACCTGCTGCCTCAACGACTCTCTGATGCAGGTATCGACAATGCTGGCCAGGCCACTGAGTTTGATCAAGAGGCATTCGAGGACCGAGTACTAGCCCCCGACGTCTTCCTGGAAGAGTTCCCGGCTGAATATCTAGTAGCTGTCGATGCTGAGGATGGCGGTGCCGCACAACCAGATCCCTTCGGGCAGGAGCTGCTTGAGTACACCCGCCACCTTCGCAGCCTGGTGGACCCGCCTCGTCCTCAGGAGCCCCTGGCATTCCCGGCCCTGGCTCTCGACGATCCCGAGCCTCCAGCGATTGAGCCGAAGCTCCCAGGAGACAGCGACTCGAAAGCCAACTTGCGCGGGCCCGAGCAAGATCAGCTATGAGCCCAGGAACGGGACCAAATGCGGGAGTCAGCTGACGTGTGACCTCCAGCCCACGTTGAATGTGTCGATGTTCTTGCAGTGCAGTGGTGTAAGTTCATGTAAGGTCTCGTTTCGTGTACCCAAAATGTGTATCAACGAGAATCATTCTTGCGTATGGCGTCATCCTCCATGTTGCACACTTCTTTCGCCCTTACTTCTTAAGCTTAGCCACAAGAATGCAACGAATTCCTCTTGGTAGCTGCCAAAACTTCACCCTGTGTGTGTGAGCGGCAGCGCGCCGGCAGCCCAGCGGAGTTCACTTCACATGGACGAATACCCGTCGTCGACTAACAAGTCTCGGGTCGGTCGACGCTCAAATCGATTGAGCACACGTCAAGTCAAACTCGGGGCACAAAGCGCGGCCTCGTGATTACTCCCTCCCTGAGCGCAGCACATCCAGCAACGCGGCTCACGGGCGCAAGCAACGCTGACCACGGCGTTTACTCGCACGAGAGAAGCTTACTGTACCTCGTTCCCATAGCTCCATTCCCAGGCTCGCAGCCTACCACACGCACCGGCACGGCACAGACAATGGCGAAGAGCTTCGACGTGAGCGGCCCTCGACACGTGAAGCTCCGCGGCCTGGAGCGCACCGTCACGATGGTGGACGGCGTCTCCGTGACGATCGCCCACTCGATGTTCGTGGAGGGCGACGCGCGCACGCTGGCCCAGCTCCTGCCGCTGGCGCTCATGCGGACGTTCAACAAGCACCCGCGGATGCGCGCGCTGCAGGTGCGGGCCGACGAGTTCACGGCCGAGATCCAGGAGCCCGTGGCCATCAGCGACATCTCGACGATGGGGCTGCTGCGGGTGCGGCGGTTCTCCCAGTCCAGCGACGACGCCAAGCCCACGTTCGACGAGTGGCAGCAGTACGCGGCCGACCAGTGCAACATCGGCTTCAACCGGTACACCAACTTCCCGTTCTACCTCACGGCGTGGGTGGACGAGAAGGCGGAGCAGGCGCGGCTCATGCTCTTCTCGGATCACTACATGTCGGACGGGCTCTCGGGTATTATCGTGCTCAACTGCATCCTCGAGCAGGTCGCACTACTGGCTTCGGACGAAAACGCTCTACGCAGGAGCCACGAGGTAGAATACCCACTGCACCCCTCGTTCTACGACATGTGGATGTCCAAGAAGTTCCTGTCCAAGGGACTGATGAAGGGCGTCATCTCGACCTTCGGCAAGGCGATCTACCGCAGCGAGATGAAGAAGTTCCACCCCGTTCTACCGATTCGCGACGACCAGCAAGACTTCGCGGTGCCTCCTGTCTCGAACCCGACCTCGGCCTCCTTCGCGCAGGGAGATCCGAACTGCATGCGCGAAGGGCTGGCGAAATGCAGGAACGAAGGCGTCACATTCGGTGGCGCGGTAGTGTGCGCTACCCTCCTCGCGTTCTACCACGCAGCTCAAAACCAACCGAGCTTCAAGCCGGACGAGCCGTTCAAGATCACAGCCGGGCTGGACTACAATATGCGCCGGCGCGTGCCTGAACCTGCAGAGGAGGACCATGTCGGGGCGTACGTAGGGTTCGCGCTGCTCGAGTGGCTCTCCAAATCGGGGGTCAATATGAAGAAGACGAAGTTCTGGGACCTCGCGCGCCAGGCGAAGAAGGAGATCGACGGGAACCTGGATCAGACTATGCAGATGGCAGCCGTGCCGATCGTCCTCGACCGGCGGTTCAACAACAAGATGGATCCCTCGTTCGCTGAAGCGCTCAACGTCCACCAGTCGCAGGCGGCAGACGCAAACATCTCCAACCTGGGGCGTTATCCGTACGCCAAGGAGTTCTCGCTCTCGTCCAAGAGCGAGAGCAAGGCCAAGCTCACAGTCACGAGTCTGCACGTGTACAACCCGAATCCGCACTTGAGTCCTTCAGCCATTCTCAACGTCACGTCAGTGGACTCCTTCTGCTACTCCATGGGCTACAAGTGCGAGGACGACGCGGCCAAAGCTCTCTTCACTGCGTGGGTCGCAGTGTGTGAGCACCTCGGCAATATTGGGCATGAGGATACAATGACGGAGGTACTGGAACAGCTCAACCTGTAGGGTGTTGCTAAAGAGTAAGAGTATATATATCAAGTCTGCACACGATCCAATTCACGAGACCATCGTCGCTAGAAGTACCTTGCACGTATCGCGGAACGCTCGAGAGAAAAGTCCTCAATGATGATTAGTTGCTTGAACCGAGCCACCCGTGTATGCGAGCGCCAAGCAAGGACAAGTTGTTCGCCATCGGAGATCCAAGCATCAGTGACATTGGCGATAAACTTATCACCAGCCTGCTGCCACTCCGAAGTTATTTGTCAAGTCGCGAGTTTCGAAGGCACCCGAGGGATACCACGACACGATGGCAGCAACGACACAGTGGGCCATTCCAGCCTGTGCCTGCTTCCTGACCAGGGCTTCGCATTAGGTGGTAATACTCCTACAATATTAATACTGAGCCTCTGAACTACTGTAGTGCTGCGCCGGTGTATTATCAGTATTCCTACCGCCGCATGCTATATTACTAGCGCGAAAGGGTTAATACTGACACACAAAGCAGCAACGTCCCATGGTAGAGCTAAGAGTCTTAAATTGGTGCATACACGACCGAAACCACTGCTGCGACTCTTCACATTGGCTCTCCATTCGGTAAGTCTCCCATGAGCGACGGCATCGCTCCTGGCGGCGCTTCTGCGCACATGGATGCCTCTACCAGCTCTACGGGCGAGGATTCGGGCCTCGTCGACAAGTACGGCATCCCCACCAGCATCCAGCACGAGTGTCAGAATGAGTTCACGGCTGTGTGGCACTTCATTCACCAGCTGAAAGCGCTCCAGCCAAACTTGCACCATCCCAAGCGGCATCTGCCTCGTGTGTGCTGAAGATCTCAAGACGAAGGACACAACAGCGATGTCGTGGCAGTCATGTCTTCAACGACAAGCCAACTCGTCCAACGCAGCATTGCACATGCTTCGCGAGCACGAAGACCATCCCTTCTCGCTGAAGGCAGCCAAAGCAAAACAAAAGGCAAAGATGAAAAAAATTCAAGCCCACGACGCTGCAGTCTCGACCGCCGAATCCGCTGCCGCCAAACCAAAGAAACAGCGCACTATTGAGGAGACCATGATTGTGAGTGACGACCAGATTCGCATTATGGCCACGCGCTGGCTGTTGTCGTCGGGTCTCCCACATACGACACTGGAAAATGGAGAGCTACTCAATTTAGTCAGACGGCTATCTCTTCAGCCAAGCCTTTCGCTTCCAGCACGGGAAACCTTTTATGGTTTCGCAGATGCAGATTTTCAATCCTTCGTCGATTTAGCATCGAAGTATTTGCAAAGTGAGTTCGAACTTGCACTTCGACTACCGTTTCTCGCCATGCTGCACGATTTGTGGACCAACGCATCAACCGTCAATGTCGTCGGAGTTACAGCAATGTTTATCGACTCTAAGTGGAGATTGGTCACTTTTTTTGCTGGCAGCTCCAAATCCAAGTGGTCACGCGACGAAGTCGGTTGCTGACCTGGTGAAACTTGAAGTCAACACACGATACGGGTTTGATATGAACTCGTATGCGCGCTTTACTGTCAGCGACACAACCGGAAGCGCTCGAAATGTATCCGACCACTTTGAAAACACAGATCAGGTCGACTGTCTCTGTCTGCTGTATGGGCTCGGTCTAAAGGAGAATACGCGCCAAGATGGCGCGTGCACTGTGCCACCTGGTGGTAAATTTGAGGAAGGACTTCGCGTAGTGAAGATGCTGCGTGATTTGGCCACATTTTTCAACACTCCAATGCGACTGCAGAAGTTGATGCAGCTTAAAGAGCTGTACAATCTTCCCCCGGTAAATGTAGCCATCGACGCCAAGACGAGGGTTGGATATGCCGTCACTCTGTTGCGACGCAGTGTCTACAACTACTTTGCTTTCGCTAAGTATTTCGATACGGCTACGTCCACGGAACAAGCTACTTGGGTGAATATCGCCGACGCTGACTGGGAGTTGATAATTAAAATGGGGGCAGTGACGAATCAACTAGCGCAATTTAGCCTTGGAGAAGTACAGAAAGAAGGCGTATCCAGTTCTTACGTTCTTCTCTTTCGTAAAATCCTGGCCATCACGCTTGACATGCAGCGTTTTCCTTGCCTCGTGCAGGAGAGACCTGATCCGTTTGTCGCGAGTGCCCTGGATGGGTTGTATGGAAGCTAAAACGGTTAGGCAGTGGCACAAATAGCGAGAAACAGAGTCAATATGCAAAAGCAATCAACTTGTTCTCTCCAGTGCAGATTCACGACTGACCCTACTTCCTTACCGCGCACGGAGCCTGACAGCTCGTGCTTCCTTCTTCTTTCGGCTCTCTGTCGGCTCACGTGCCGACTTCAACACGTCACCGGCTCACCTGGCTCTCGTCTCACCCCTTCGTCCTTGGCTCACCTCACAGCTCACGTCCTGAGCCACGCGGTGCTCGTGACCTCCGTCCTGCCCTTCGCGTCACTGCTCACCCATCCCTCGCGTCACTGCTTCCATCGCAGCCGAGCGCGCCACCTAACCGACGCGTCACCAGTCAGCGCCCCTCCGAAATGGATGACTGCCCGCTCACCGCATCGTCCAACAGCTGATCCTCCAGAAGTCGATAGCAGGTCGAACGGTCGTCCGTGTAGTAGGAACGGTGGTGACCGTTCCTACTAGGGACATCCTCCCCGACTGAAACTCGACGTCCTCGTCGAGCAGCTTCCAGCTTGTCGGCTTGCATCTTGGCACGCAGCTCTCGCTGTTCGGCGCGCAACCCACCGAGCGTCCTCACGGGTTTCGTATCGCCTACGCAGCCGTCTGCACGCCAGAACGCTTCGCTCAAGCGCTCAGCTTGCTCCAGCTCTTCCAAGTCTTGCTGCCATTGCGAGTAGCGGTCCTCGGCCATCTTCAAGGGCGAACGCCCACCCGAAGTCGCCTCATACCATTTCAGCAAGTGTGGTATCGGAAAGTTGAGATTACCGAAGCGATTGCCCGTCGCCCAAGAATCAAGGTACAATCAAGGAGCAGCCAAGTGCGAGATGGAAGTGGCTGCTTTGGTTAAGCTGACGACATTATCCTCGTTAGAGTGACGGTTAGTGGCCGGAGCCTCGTCGGGTCCTAATACAACCCCGACCGAGGCTTCATGGTGCCTACGTTTTGGTACAGATGCATTTAGTTACGTACTTCGGCCGCACTTATTAGTGTAGCCGCGGTCGTCATTTGATGTGTCCGGGATCGCCTCACTGCGGTCGTTCACACTAGATATTTGTATAGGGACATAGGACTCATCATAGGATGATCAGAACGAGGTCCCCAAGGCCTCAGAAAACTCAGTAATAAAAAGACAGTCTTCCCCCAAAGCCAACAAGGGTCAAGTCCGACTTCGGTAAGTGTAGCTAGCTTATCGTAGTGCCTGGACACGCTCGGCTGCGTGTGGATGCCTGTCGGGGAGCTTATCGTGCATTGACCGAGAGTTTCCTTGGCAGCACCAAGAGTTGGCGTGGCCGGAGAGGCAGGAACGGTATTAGAGTATCGTTCGGTATATATTTGTGGGATTAGAGTATCTCTGAGTGTATTAGTCTATCTACCGAGGTTTTACCTTGGTCCCCCTGTATAAGGCCTAACACGCCGGTACCCTTCCTTTCTGAGGGACTGCAGTGGGGTTGCGCGAAAGCGCTACATAGTATCCTAGCCTTAGCTCGTGGCTAGTGGTACAGGTTTTTGGGTTGACCGAAGACAACCTAAGGTGCCCAGAGGCGCTTGCAACCGACCCGGTGTAAGGGATCGTTCCTGGACTTCAGGTTTTGATCCAATAAGCGCTTACCTTTGCGGGTTAGCGTGTTGTTGGTGTCTCTAATACCTTTTGGTAGAGGAGGATTTTAGTGGAATTACCACACCACAACTGGTGCCGCGACCCGGGATTGGTGCGACCTTCTGTGTGTCTGGATTGTTGTAGGTCTTACCCCAACGAGCAAAGAGGAGAAGAAGAAGAGAAGCGAAGAAGAAGAAGAAGAAGAGAGAAGATGGCGAAGGGAGTCAAGTCAGCGGTACCAGCAACGCCGGCCAAGTCGAGTGGAACGCGCAACGAGACTTCGGTGCGCTCCGGAAGCTCATTCTCGACCCCTACGACGGATCGGATGGAGTCGATTGACGAGCGTTCGGTGAGCTACGACACGGCGATTGATTCCTCGGACGCCAAAGAAAATGACGAAGATGATGACTGGGATGTCCGGACAGCGATATCCGAGACTTCGGAAGCTGCGGTTGTGTCGGCAGGTCGCAGTGGAGGATCAAGGTCGATTACCCGCGACCTCTCCGACACGTTCAAGGACATGCCGGGCCCCGAGCCCGCCTACGACGGGGATGACGGCGCCACCGAGGACTTCAAACCCTCGGTGACGGTAGGAGGGGCAACCTCCAAGCCGGTTGGCACTCGGCCTCCCCTCAACGGGGATACTCCGGCGGCCAACAAGGTCCTAGGCCGGTGCCTAGACCTGATGAAGACCAAGGGCGAATGGATGCAGTTGTTCTCCCCGAAGCAAGTCCGCCAGGCCATCTGGATGGACCTCGGAGGGGCGTTGGCTACGCCGATCAACTCAGCGAGCACTCGGCACGTTGCGCAGAATACTGTGGACCTCCTGCGAGCTATGGGGTGCGAACCCCAGATCCTCCCCACGGAGGCTGCGCTCGCGAGTTGGACGCCGACCGCCGCTGCCACGGCGTTAACCAAGTGGAGGAAGAAGATGCGTAATGCCTTTGAAGTGACGGACGTCAGTTCGCGAGGCCCAACGATGCTTCGTTCGACCTCGGAGGCAGTAGACCCGTCGACGGTCCCGCTACCAGCGACCCCTCGGAAGGGAGCCACTGATGACGGTGTCTTTGCAACCAAGGGCGAAGCCTCGCCGTACATGCAAGACTCGCAGATGGTAACTCCACGATCTACGGACCGTAGTGAACGTCTGGCTAGGGAGAACGAGGCTTCATTCGCCACGCCTGGCACGCGCGGAGCGACCGGCCGTCGGTCCGGCCGACGTTACGACCTCCAAGATGATTCGTCGGATAGCGACGACGACCTCGGGCCCGACTACTACGAAGGGGACCTACCGAGCGAATGGGCACGTCAGGTGCGCGAGCTAAGCGCGACCGACAACCAGAGCTCAACCCCAAAGCTCGAGATAGCTACGCATTTGCCTCTCGCCAACATCAAGCCGTTCTACGGAACGCGCGACAAGAGCGAGCACTCCATGCAGTGGCTCCGAACGTTCATCTATGAGATGAAGGGAACGCATGCACCACCCAACGAGTGGTGTATGCCGTTCGAACTTAAGCTCAGGGATGGAGCCCTGCACTGGTGTCGCCAGCTCCCACGCAAGACAAGACGCACGTGGAAGTTGCTGAGCGAGGCGTTCATCAAGTACTATTGCTCGAAGTTTTCCCAGTCTGCGAAGGCTCGGTACTACTCGGCCAAGCGGGAAGACAAGGAACACGTTTGTGACTACCTCAACCGGCTCAACGGCTACGTTCGCAACGCCGGTGTGCAATTTGAAAACGGTGGTCGTGACGCGAAGGACCACGTGGACCACTTCTTGGTCACGTGTGACGACCGAAACTTAGAAGACCGTCTGTACCACGTCCGGTTCAAGAGCATCCATGACCTCGAAGATATGATCAACGACATCCTGCGTCACCGTGACCGAAAATCGAACCGAGAATCGTCGTTCCGCCGCTCTCGGAGTCAAGATGATGGACGTCGACGCGATGCGAGGTCGAACGAGGATTCTCGTGGTGGCTACCGCCGCGAACGACGCTACCACGACGAAGACCGCCGCGAACGACGTCGCCGTGACAACGACCGCCGCAACGACCGCAGTGAAGACGACCGCAGCGAAGACGACCGTCGCCGTGACCGACGCGATGGATCACCGTACCAGTCCCGAGTCACTTTGGTTGACGCGCTGGCTGATGTGATGGCGGAATGGAACGTCGGAGGCTCGGTCGGTGCACGCAACGAGGCTCCATACGCCCCCCGACGTGATGCTGAGGCGAACGAGGATTACTTCGAGGATGAGTCCCAATACTCGGACGACCAACGCTCGGACGAGGATTCAGACGCTGATTACGACTCGGATGGGTCTACCGGACATGTCGCTGCTGCTAACGATGCTGAGCGCAGGGCCGCAGCCGAAGGAACGCTCGCTCGGTCTGATAACCGACGCTTCAGGAACGGAGGAGGCCCGTCCAACCGTGAACGAGATGGTCGACGCCAGTATGGGCCGTGTGCCGCGTGTGGAAGCCCGTCCCACTCGGTGCACTTCTGCTACCGGCGGTGCAAACTGTGCAAACAGGTGCACGACGCTGGGAAGTGTGAAGCACTCCACGAGCTCACCAAGCTCCTGAAGTCCAAGGTCGACAAGAAGGATCTGTCGCCAGAGCTGCAAAGCCTGGTGTATGGAAGCCATTTAAACTAGGCAGCCCGCCAACTGAAACTGGGTTTGTCTCAATCGGGCTGCCACAGTTAGCTGAGCCTGCTGTTGATGTGGTCTATCTGTTCGCGTTCACAGGCGAAAGCAAACGGCCTGACGACCTGAAGAACAATGAACGTGTGAAACCGACAGATAATGGAGAGAACCGGGACGCAAGTCTCGTTGCGATTGGTATTGATGAAGATGATGATGATGAACCTCGTTCGGGCGGTGAAATTATTGCCCGGTGAGAGACTGGGGTGGTGGTCGTCCCAACGATACGACAAAAGGAAGCGAATGATGGCTTTGGTCAATGGCGCAGTGGACGACGCGCGAACGAGGATACTCCTTGACACTGGAGCGAATGTTAGCGTGATTTCTGCCAGCTTCGCCAAGCGGCTACGTGTGCGAGAAGGCCGGGACCACGGACGAAGTCTCGAAGTCCGCGGCATCAACCCAGGGGTGATGGAGACCCGGCGACGGACGCTCGTCAAGATCACCCTCGGGTGGGAGCAGGTCTACGAATTTGAAATGTGGATAATGGACCACAGTGCCGGAGTGGATGTGGTCCTTGGGATGGACTTTATGATCCCGGCTGGAATCCGGCTGAATCTGTTCCATGGCACCGCACGCATTCCAGACGAGGTCATGGTACCACTGCTGAAGTCACAGAGTGTTGGGGATGACGAACCTTACGGCACGCAGCCTTCGAGTGGGCCGACCGAGGATTTATAC